CACAACACAGATTTCGTCAGAATTTGTGAAGAAGGTGAAATGGAAGCCCATAAAAGGGTACTCCTACTATGCGGAGATTACATGGAAGATTACGAGGTTCCTTCACCTTTTTTCTTTTCAATTTCCTGTCCTTTAACTACGATTTCTCTATTGATAATATTAATCGAGGAAGAGTTCGTATTTCTGATTTAAGTTAGATAATTTAAGAATAATGTATTGATGATTGAACAGGGATGATGATGTGGCAGTCACGTGGAATAATGTTGATCGAACAGTTGAGTTTTTAAGTGAGAAGTGAGGGATAGGGGAGAGTGGTCTCAAGAGAAAGAGAAATTTAAAGGATAATGGCTGCCGCGTCACCATTGTTCTATCATTGTTCTATCGTTGCAATGATAAATAACATTACTCTTGACATTTTCAGGTGATGGTTCCATTTCAAGCATTGCTAGCATATGGGGTCTCCGTTGACGCTGTTTGTCCTGGAAAGAAGGCCGGTGACATCTGTCGTACTGCAATTCATCAGTCTTCTGGTCACCAGGTCTATTAAACCATGCATTCATTTCAAAATATTATTGTTATATGCGTGTATATATTGTAAAAAGTTATGCTATATGTACACCCCGTTTACCACTGCATGAATTTACACTTATCTCTCACAATCTTCCACAACAATCACATTTAATCCAGCCGCTGCAATTCTGCCACTCAGGCATCTGTACACCAGGGTGGCAACAGATTTTCCCTATTGTAAATTGCTGGTGTATGATTCTTGGTATATAAATTTTCTTGTGAATTTGGATGCTAATATGCTAGGATCTCTATTCAAAACGTTTCCCATTGCCCTACTATTCTGAATGGTGAAAAATAGCTCTCTCTCTCTCTCTCACAACTTGGCCAGTAATAAGAAAAAAATATGTTATTTGATGAGGTATGGAAAGTGTACTGGATTCGATATCTTTTGAACTTTCGACTCAATTTGCTCTCGCGATTTTAGAGGGAAAAAACACTACGAGCTCTTTTTTGACAGCGGGAGCAGGTGGGTTATAAATATGATATGGAAAATGGTAAGACTTGCAAAGAGTCAACTATAAATTAGAATGATTTTCATGATATAAAATTGTATTTATGATTTTATATGTACAGCCGCATATGTAGTAGATCGCACGTACACACTCTCTCTTTATTTAAAAGGAAAAATTACAGGAAAGAGGGTAGAGGATGAGTTCCTGATCAACATGCAGTATTATACTGAACTTTCTTGACATGGTTTTTTGTAAGCAGGACATCAATAGAATTTGGGATTATTATTCTTTCCTTTATAGATATTGTCAATGTTGTGGAAATTTTTATTGTATCCATTAATGGGATTTTTGTCCTTTGTAATTCAACATATTTTGGAGCAACACTCAAAGTGCAAATCCAAGGAGTGTTTTTTGTCTTTCTAACTTATGTACTGGGTGTTCAAATCCAATACTTGGGAAAATTGATGATAAGTAATGGAAAGATCAAACATTGGATGATCAAGGTCTTATTATGGAGTCTTGGTGTTAGATATCAATATTTTCAATCTTGCAAATTTTTCTTCGAATCTTTTGTTAAACAGATCTGCGACATTGGTCTCTTGAACTGTGTTGTACAAACATTTCAACTAGGGTGACGTATCCGTATAGGATATCAACACACCAAACGCCCTGCCTCGCGCTTTTTGTATGCTTTTTTGCTTTTTAACGCTTTTTTCTTTAATTATTAAATGATTTTTAGATTGATTTAAAAATTTAAAATAATATTAAAATAAGAAAACGTTTTGTTACACTTGAGGCATAGGCGAGGCCAAGCCGAAGCTTGGCCTCCACGCCTCGCCACGCTTTACGCTTTTTGGAACAATCCGACACGCGTCCATGTTGGTGCTTGGTAGCTCTTGGATAATGTTGCAAGTGTATGGGATAAAACCTTGGTGTTACTTTTTTCGAAGCATGCTCTTTGTGTGAATGACAAGATATCAAATGTTTCAGTTGCCTTTTTTTGTGGTTTATGCACCATTCTTCTCATTCTAAAAATGGCTGCAGACATATTCTGAGTCTCGAGGTCATAATTTTGCCCTCAATGCAACTTTTGATGAAATAGATGCAACCAAATATGATGGACTGATCATACCAGGTGGACGTGCTCCAGAATATCTTGCAATGGATGAATCTGTTGTAGAATTGGTTAAGAAGTTTTCCGAGTCACAAAAGCCAATTGCCTCCATTTGCCATGGACAATTGATTTTGGCTGCAGCAGGTGTAGTCAAGGGCCGGAAATGCACAGCCTTTCATGCAGTGAAACCTGTACTTGTTGCTGCTGGTGCTCATTGGGTAGAACCAGAGACTGAGGCCTTTTGCACCAGGGATGGGAACCTTATAAGTGGAGCTACATATGATGGCCACCCTGAGTACATCCGGCTTTTCATCAAGGCATTGGGAGCCAATATATCTGGTTCTGGAAAACGTATTCTATTTCTATGTGGGGTAAGTTTCAACCGTCATGGCTGTAAGACTTTGAGCTAGAAAACCTGATTTCCACTTTTTTTGGCTTTTGGAAGTCAAAATTTGCCTTTTCAATTAACTTGGTTTGAGATAAAGCAAAAATTTTAGTTCCATATGATGTTTCACATGATCTTGTTAATTTTTGCGTAGTTAATAAACTTTTTCAGATATTTATTTGATCCTTATTACACTGATAAACCAGTATAGTGGGACATTTACAGTGACGACTTCAGGTTTATTTCTTTAGATTACTAAAAACATTTCTAGTTAATGGAATAGATACTTTTGGAAGACTCATATTGAACTTGGCCAAATCAGATTCAGAGTTCTGATAATTCAAAATCAAAGGTGAACCACGCACAAACCCGATTGGAGATGTTAAATTTTCACTTTTATAAAGCCAATACATACCCTTCTGCCTTATGGACCTACTCTCCTAGAAGATAGGTGAATGCATACCCTCCAGTCATTCACACCATCCTTTCTTGGACGTTGCTGAGCTAAAATATGATGCTAGTTCTGAAGATTTCTGTATCTCAAGGAATCATTTTTTTGTTCTTCTTGTGAAGGATTTCATGGAAGATTATGAGGTGATGGTTCCCTTCCAGTCTCTTCAAGCTCTTGAGTGTCATGTTGATGCCGTTTGCCCCAATAAAAGTGCTGGAGATAAATGTCCAACAGCTGTCCATGACTTTGAAGGTGACCAAACTTATAGTGAGAAACCAGGCCATGATTTTACTTTAACAGCTAATTTTGAAGGTTTGAATGCTTTAAGCTACGATGCCCTAGTAATCCCTGGGGGTCGCGCTCCAGAATATTTGGCATTGGATGACAATGTTATTCAATTGGTGAAGGAATTTATGGAGTCTGGGAAACCAGTGGCATCCATCTGCCATGGACAACAGATTTTGTCTGCTGCTGGTCTTTTAAAGGTAGATTCTACTTGCATTACATGTCATATTAACACACTTTTAGCTGTTATAATCCTTGGTTTTGTGCATGTCTCATCCATGCGTCAGACTTACTTGGTTGTTACTCTTAGGGCATGTCTTTGGATATGACTCAACAATACAATAGACAAGATTTCATTTTGTGATACCACCTGTCATGGGACTAAATTTTTCCACCCAAACTTTAAGATACCATGCGGCCATAATGTTCAAGTTTCTGCCCCTGCGAGAAACACGTTAAGTCAGCCTTAACCCAACAACGAATTTAACTTTTTGTTTTTGGGTTTTTAATACTGTCCAGTACTATTCATTTAATCCTGCCGACCATGCCAACAATATTTTTAAGTCAAACAAGAAGTTTTGTATTTATATGTCTATGTTTGGAGCTTATTTATTATCTCTGTAGTTACTAGGATCACATGGTTGTAATCTAAGGTTTGCTATCATGATGAAGCATTTATATCTTCTATTTCTCAATTTCCTTATCTTGAGTGGGCACGGAATGGTATTTATAGCTTTTTCATTTAAAGATGCCCACTATCCATAAATACTGCTGCACGTGTTCATTTATTTTGGTATTTTCAAAATGTTCACTGAATTTAGAACAATATTGTTGATTAAGCCCCTGTTTGACAACAATTAAAATGATTTTTTTTTTTGGGGGAAAATTAGTTTTGGAATAGTGATTTTTTGAGAATGTGTGGTTAAAAAGTATAAAAAAGTTTTGGGTTTAAGTGTAAAATATTTTATTGTGAGAATGTGTGGTTGAAAATGGATTTGAAAAAAAAAGAGTTGTTTTAAATTTTTAATGGTTGTCAAACAGGGGCTAAATTTATATTTAGAATTCTCAAGATATACCAAAACTTTATTAAGCATATTACCTCTTCAATAGTTGTTCTCCTTTTACTGACAAACGAACATTTACATTAGAAATGTACTATTTCTTGAATACACACTTCTTAATAGTGCCCATCCAGCTATGAGCTCTAAAACTTAGTCAACAGTTGAAATTCTTATTTATAATTTGTGGCCTTGCACTGTCAATTTGCTTAATGAGAATTTGTATCGCTAAGCGCTCTCAGAATCTGCTCTTTGTAAATTGTAATAAATCCATCATTGTACCACTAATTTGCATTCTATCAAAAAGTTCCATTTTAAAATCTCTTGTGATTGGAACTAGAATGATCAAGAAGCATAGATTATTTCATTTCTTCCGAAATGTTGGGGCTAAGAATCCTACTACCACTCCCCATGACCCAAAATTATAGAATGGAACAAGTGAATTTAGTATTTGAATTACAGAGTTCTCTTGAACTTTCTATTATTGAAACTAAGAGGTAAGATGACATATTTTTGAGCTAGTATTTTTAGTTAATGACATTCCGCTAACATTTCTCCTGAATTGGGGTCAGATGTAAACGTTTTGAGTGCCACCCTCCTCTATTTATCCTCACCAGTTCTTCTAAATATTGATTATCAATAGAAGCATGAATATCTATGATTTGAGAAACTCGATAGTATGACGTTTGATGCTATCATATGTATCCTGGGAGTATAAATTTCGGTACTTTAGCTTATAAGTCATTTCTTTTAGAGAAAATAAGTAATGCTCAATTTTCAGACATTTGTTAATACGCCAAATTACATGGAGAAAAATGCTATCTATCCACGTGCTTTTGAGCAGTGGTATAAATCACTTATTCATGATGCATTAAGCATTATTGTTTTCCGTAGCATGAGGTAAATGAGCCTTGATGTTTCATTTATATTGATTTCTTTCTTCATTTGCTGTCCAAGTTGATTTGCAATTGCACTTACACTCCAAGTGTCATTTGAATGTAGAGTGAGAAGTATAGGAACTAACTCCACAAGTATAAGAACTAACTCCGTAATTTCTAAATAGATGCACATATATACTTGGAATAAAAATGTGAATGAGTTGAAGTTGATGAATAAGTATTTAAGAGACAGCTTCAAGGTGACATCTGATATAGACATTGTTGATGTGAAAACATTTTTTCATGTCTTGTTTCTCCAGCTTAGTGCTCCTTTTACGATTTTCAATTTCTTGTTAGTATAAGAAATGCAAAGTTGGCGTGTCAAAATATTCTCTACCAAAGTTATCATATTTCTAAGACCATTTCCTATTATGTTTCTTGTTTCCTTCTCCATGATGGCTTTTTGTTGTGTATGCTTCAAGTAGATCACTCACAATTAGATTCCTCACAAATTACTATAAAAATTGGTAATGCTTGTTACTGTGAATCTAGCTATTTTTTTTCTTTCTTCACTATGTCAATACATCTGGGCAGTTCTCAACGATTACATTGTGTCCAAATTGCTACTAACCTCAGTGCATCTGATATCTCCATCATGATATCTTTGTAGGGTAAGAAATGTACTGCATATCCTGCAGTGAAACTCAATGTTGTTCTATCAGGGGCGACATGGTTAGAACCTGAACCAATTGACCGGTGCTTCACTGATGGAAATTTGGTGACTGGAGCAGCTTGGCCTGGTCATCCTGAGTTCATATCACGGTTCATGTCTCTGCTTGGTATTCGTGTATCTTTCTAGTTAAGTTTGTTTCTTACTCGTAATCTTATATGTCTATTGTAAAAGGACTTTACGCTTGGCCTGTACCTGTGAGATAATCTAAAGCGTGTTTGCTTGTGATACATGGATAATCTGATGGCTGTTGTGTGTTGCACTAACTATTGAGCTCAGTAGAGGAGCTAAGAAGAAGGAAGAGAATAGAAAAAATGAATTCCATTCAACTGAATTAATTGTACAGTGGGAAATTGTAATTAGCAGCCTAACTAACTAACTAATTTGTAGTTTAATAACTAATCTTTATTTACAATTATTTGCACTCTAATACTAACGGACTTCTGTGTTTCTGCATGTTGCCTTCGGTTTGCCTGCCTTTAGGTTGTAGTCATAGGTGCATTATCATGGATGTCATGCATGCTGTTAAAGCCCTATTTGAGTCTCATTCTCTAGAAACTAGAATTCTGGATTGGAAGAAAAAAGATCGAGCCACATTCAATAGGTGTTTGATGTTTCCTCTCTACAGTTGAGTTTTACTGGGGCCTTTCAACACATGAAAACTGTGTAAAACACCTTTCTCCTGAAAAAAACTCAGTAAAGGATTGTTCAGGTGCGTTATCAGATCGAAANAAATTGTAATTAGCAGCCTAACTAACTAACTAATTTGTAGTTTAATAACTAATCTTTATTTACAATTATTTACACTCTAATACTAACAGACTTCTGTGTTTCTGCATGTTGCCTTCGGTTTGCCTGCCTTTAGGTTGTAGTCATAGGTGCAATATCATGGATGTCATGCATGCTGTTAAAGCCCTATTTGAGTCTCATTCTCTAGAAACTGGAATTCTGGATTGGAAGAAAAAAGATCGAGCCACATTCAATAGGTGTTTGATGTTTCCTCTCTACAGTTGAGTTTTACTGGGGCCTTTCAACACATGAAAACTGTGTAAAACACCTTTCTCCTGAAAAAAAACTCAGTAAAGGATAGTTCAGGTGCGTTATCAGATCGAAA